GCATGCGTGAGTGTGTGTGTGTCCAGTTCCATCAAGCACTTCGCAGCACTAATGAGGCCAAGGTGGCAGGTGTGATCCTCAAACAGCCCAATCAGAATCCATGAATGAGTCAGGGACAGCCACAAAAAGGCTGCGTGACTCTCTCTTCTGAACAGACGGTGTGTCCAGGTGCCACAGGGCACTCAACTATGGTTGAGACCGATATGCCATTCATTCCTGCCAGGGATGACTCCCACCATCTGGCCAGCTGGCCCCCACCCTCTTCCCCATCCAAAGCTCAAGATCCAAACTTACAGGAGGACCCACATTACAGACACATGGCCCCCTTCCTGGCGGCCGGCACAGCTCCTTCTGAGAAGGGCAGCTGGAGGGATTGTGGGGTCCAGCCCTGATCCTCCCCCAGTCTAACTTCCATCTCTCCTGCTGCTGCAGCCCCATTTGGCTCCCTTGTTGCTCTCTGGGTCCAATGAGTGCCCACACCCTCCCCACACTCAGGAGATAAGCAAACTCTCTCCCCATCATCCCTTCCCCCTAAGCATCACAGGACATTTAAAACAATTGTCCCAATTTTGGGGTAGAGAATGAGGTCAGGAGGCCCAAGGGGGAACCGCTTGTTGGCGACAGCTGACAGTCTTCATTTCACCTTGAAACTCCTTCCTGGTCCAGGTGGGTGTGTCCTGAGACCAATTTTACAGGGGCGCTACTGTATCGGGGGACAGGGAGAGCAGGAAGGGAATGCACCAAATAGCAGCTTCGGTCACAGGTGCTGCCAGGACCACCCCTAACTGTGCAGTGACTGGGGCAAGAGGACAAATGGGGGCCCACATACATGTTTCTAAATATTTAAAAGTTATAAATCAAGTGAACAACCTGTTAATTAAAATATGTTCTAAGCTCCCACCTTGACAAATACAATTTCACAATGACCTGGAAGACCAGGTTCCAATTTAGAGTCCTCTGACTCCTGGGAGTTTTGCAGGAGAACAATGCTGTGTAGGGAGAGACACCTCCACTCCCACCCTGGCCCCGGCCAGCAACCCCACTTCCTACTGCCAGCAACTTTCTGCACCCCAAGCGACTCATATCCACATATGTGTTCACCTGGCCTCACATCTGAGTTCCATCTTCATGCCTAGCAAACAGCTGCCCCTTAGCTGTCTTCAGTCGTCCCTCAAATCTAGGGGTGCAAGTACTAGTGGCATAACGTGCCCTGAGGAGAACAGGCCCAGGGAAGATGTTTGCATGGGCTGGGAGCAAGCTGGCCACCATCTGGGCAGGGAGCTCCAGAGTGACAGGTCTGGAGAATGTGGCCTTGAAGGGGATGCATAGCCTCATCCCCTTGACCCTGCTTACTCCTCACCCTACAGGGAGAGGGATGGCCAGAGTGGAGCCCTTGAAAGCGCCCAGCTAGGGCACGGGCACCCCCTCCCTTGCCCAGGTTTAAGGGTGCTTACTAGACCCAGGCTTCCCTGGCAGCCTCCAGAGCTCGGGCCAGGGACTGAAGCTGTCTTTCCATTGGAGGGCAGCTTGGACAATCCCCAAACAGGACTTTCAGTCCCTTGCATTATTTATCTTCCTGGAAAAGTTTAGTGCAGCTCGACCCCAACTTGTGGGTTTCTGGACTGGGCAGGGCAGGGAGGTGATGACAACCAGGCATTTTTCTCGGTTGGGTCTCTAAGCCAGTTTGCTCCCCAGAGACACAGCCCCAAGTGGGCTCCTCCTGCCCCTGGTCCCTGCCCTGCTGGGGCCCCTCTGCTCACCCTGGAGACAAAAAACAGGGTGATTAAGAGAGAAGGAGGCGAGGGGCCCTGGGTAGCCCAGACGGGTCCAGCAGAGAGCCAGGGACCAGCAGGGGGCAGGGGCTGGTGGGGTGATGTCGGTGAAGGGCATTGCTCTCTCTGGCCAAGTGAAAAAAAAAACTTCCAACCACCACCACCACCCGCCGCAGACTGGCTTTGCTGTCCCACACATGAGGGGACACTTACACTGGCTGAGCCCTCACCCGGCGCCAGGCACTGGCTAAGCACTCTACGTGCATATTCTCATTTAATCCTTGCAGCCACCCTATGAGGCGGGTTCTATTATTATCCCCATTTTACAGGTGGGAAAGTGAGCTCGAAGAGGTTAAGTAACTTACCCAAAGTCACACAGTAGGTAGAGGAGACAGAACTCAAGTCTAATTGACCCCAAAGTCCCCACTCTTTCCACTATAGTGCATTGCCTCCCAGAAGCAAGAAGTTGGCACGGAAGCAGAAAGGATGAAGGGCAGAGCTGAGACAGAACTTACGATAGTGTGTGTGGTGGAGGGAGACAACAGAATGGGGGAACTAGATAGACAGAGCAAGCTCCCCCATCTGAGGTGGATCTTGGTCTGTCCGTAGGCTTGTGATGATCCCTAGGAGGTCCATGGATCCTGGATGAATCCAGATGGCAGCATACTGACTTCTCTCTGTTCTACAATCCGGGGCCCTCTGCTCTACCCAGACCCAGCACCCAGGCCCAAAGTCTGACTCTCCTTTGTGGCTCAGAGTTCTAAGTATCACATCTGAGCTGCCAGCCCAGGACGTCCTCTTCCAGGAAGCCTTTCTTGAGGTCCTAGGAGGCAGGACCCATTTCCTATAGCTCAAATCCCAACACAGAGGGTGCAAATGCACCCCACATCTACTATAAGGTCCGCTTCTGTGATCACCTCCCCCAGTTGGCTCTGGGACACGGACACAGAAAAAATCTACTCAGTCTCCAGGCTCTGTGGGTTCCCCAGGCCATCTGGACGATCCCCCTCTCCCTTACTCGCGCACATCTGTACCCAGGTGAAAATACAAGATGCAGGTGTCCTGGGGCTCACCAGGAAAGCCAGGCCCCAGCTCAGCTAGGCAGTGGCTCTTACCTCATTAACCCACAGCACAGAAGCCGTTTGGGCCACTTCATCGCTCCCTAAGGGAGGCGGTAGGATGCTGCACTCGGATGAGGCACGGGGCACCGCCAGTCAGTGAGGTTCCTTACCCAGCGGAGGACTGCAGTCACCACCCCCAATCTCTCCTCCAGAAAGCTGCGTGCCTGGGGCCCTGTCGCTTCCCATCCCTCAGAGACCGCCCCGGCATCGGGGACAGCCAGCCGGGACCCTCTAAACTTCCCCAGAGTTTAGTCCCACCTGCTAGATGCCTAGCGTCGGTGCGCAGAGCCGAGAGAGATGTCCTTGCTGTCCTCTGGGGTCCCCCAGTTTTGAGACGAGGGCACAGGACAGGTGGAAGGGGCTGCCTTGTTCTCCTGCGCTGCCCTCGAGGTCCTCAGAGTGGACCAGCGCGCGTCGCTGACTTACCTGCTGGGCAGAGACCGAGCTCGCCGCGCCACCTGCTCTCGCCGCGCTTCGGAGCTCAGCGGCTTCGGGCTGGCGGGGGACGGGGCGGGGCCCTGCTCGGGGGCGGGGCCTGGGCGGGGGAGCCGCGGTCGAGCCCCTCCCTGAGTCTCAGCCGGGTGGGGTGGGCCAGTCCGTCCAGGTGGGCAGAAAGGGTGGAGCATCCGGGCCACGGGGGAGGGTCTGGAGCTCTGGCCTTTCCGAGGCTGGGAAGTTAGGATGCCTGGGTCCTGAGACCTCACGGAATCCCCTCTTTCGGGCAGCCTTGCCCAGAAGCCCTGGAGGCAGTGGCTCCATGTGAAGATCCGTCATTGGAAAAAGAAAACCCAAGAACCTCTTCTTGCCTGAGTTCCCCCTTGCATCTGAACTCAAGAAAGCTCTCCCAGCCTGGCAAGGTGGGTGAGAGATAGAATACTCCCTCTAAAGCGAGGGTCACGCATCCAGCGGTCAGCTGGCTATGTATGGGCTCAGGCCACTGAGGGGACCATTAGGTGCCCAGGTCATCTTTATCCTCAATCCATCTCTCTCCCTGCAACACAGCTGCCCGCTCTGCCCCCAACACCAGCTCAGGTCCCTCAGCTGTCACTGTTTAGCCCTGGAATGACAGGCGTCCGGACTCCGTGCGTCCAGCCGCATTCAAGGCCATTGAGCTTAGCACCCCTAGGCCCCTGCCCCCCTCCCTCTGCCCCCAGTCGCTAATTTTATTGAGCTGTAAAAGGCACGTTCCTGGCAGGGGAGATAACAAGTGAAGGCAAAGTGGGGAGCAGATGGGCAGAAGAAGGGGCCCCTGGAGGTGGAGATGGGACAGGAGGGAGGAGAAGGGTGACTCCTGGAGCCAGGGCCAAGGGACACCAGAGATCAGGAGGAAGAAGGGCCCTAGGGAAGAGGGGAACACTCTGGGGGCATGGAGACCCAAAAGACTGGAACTGGAACTTCAGCCCCTAGTCGGACACGAGGTGGACTGAAGAAAGAAGATGCTGGGGGAGGGAGAGTGCACTATTTCCCATCTACCCTGAGGCAGGACCACTGATGTAGCAGGAGGGAAGCAGGTTAGATGGCAGGAAGGACTGCCATCCTGCTCTCAGATCTCTGCCCTAGCCCCCTCTCTTCCTCTTGAAGGTGACTCCTGCCTGCTGGGCCTCTTACTACAGAAATAGCCTTTCCCTGAAGAATCAACCTAGATCTTGCCTGTCTTTTTCTCTTTCTTTCCTGTTAAAATGAGAACAGAAAATTTAGGCCTTTACAACTCCCTCCACCCCCATGCCTACCTGAGCCCCACCCCTCGAATCCTGGCTCTCAGCCTCTCCCCAGCCCAGGGGAGATGACCTGGGGATTAAGAGAAGGTAGACAGCGGGGCATTGGGGTTGGAGCCTATTATGGGGTGGAGGGGGCAGGAAGGCCTCATTCGTGATGGCTCTCAAATCTAGACTTTTGATGTTCTCTCCAAATAAGGTTACATGAGAGCCATAAAGTGGGGTGTTAAAAAAAAACTTTTAACATTAAAAATATAGCACAAAGCAGATCAGTGGATGGGGGGTGGTGGGGTTACAATGGGAACAATGAAACTTTTGAGGGTGACAGCTATGTTCATTATCTTGACTGTGGAGGAGCATGCAAATGTTAAAACTTATCAAATTAGACACCATAAATATTTATGTACAGTTTATTTTATGTCAATTATACCTCAACAAATCTGTTTTTCAAATACCACATGTTGTCTACACCAATTTCCCATTTCTTTACTTTTAATTTATGGGGAGCCTCAAAAAATAGAAGTGGCCTTCGCAGGGAAGGAATATCGAGGGGCCGAGAGAAACTGGTGATTCCTAGTACAGTGTGGCCATTCTCCTGCCTCAGTCTCCCCTCCATCCAGTGCGTAGGAAAGGGTCTGTGTGGTGTGAGTGGGGTCTGGGGCTGAGATGTGCTTCACCAGGGTGGGGGCCCAAGCCCGCCTGGGCGCCCAGGGTTCCTCTGTACCTGGTCAGCATGGTGCCCCCAGCTGGTGACTCAGGCAGGAGGGGCCTGGACCCAGGCTTTGCCCAGGGGAAGATGGTGGCTGCTGCGGACTCTCCCGCCCCCTGCAGCCTGAGCTGAGCACTGCAGCGACAAGGTGGTCAGTCCAGGGAGAGGTCCGACAGGCTCTGGGCACAGTGCTGCAGGTAGTTGAAGTCAGGTACCGGGAAGGGCACGTGGGACCACTTCTTGGCCTGGACCCGCCCTCGCGGGGTCTCCAGCAGCATGCTGCGGACTTTGATCACTGGCAGCTTCACAGACTTGTAGATCATCTGCATACCCCAGGACTGGGGGTGGGACAGAGACGGCCGGGTGTGGGTCTCTGTCCTCAGACTGGGCTTCTCTCCTCAAGGTAGCGTCCATGAATGCAGGGCCTGTGCCTCCCACCTCAGACTGAGAGCTATCTCCCCCGTCACACTGTGGGCTCCCTAAGACAGGGAGTTGGACCACTCTCCTCAGACTGGGGGCTCCTAGGGGAGGGCTGTCTCCCCCATGCCAGTGGGGGCATCCTGATGTCCTGATGGCAGAGGCTGGGCCTCCTCTCTCAGACCGAGTCTTCTGAAGACTGGAGCTAAGAGCCATGGCCCCAGCACTTACCTCCCCACAGTTCCTGCAGCTAACGGCGCCCCCAGGCTTCCAGTCCTTGAACTCTCTGTCGATGACCACAGCCTTCGGGGAGACTTTGTAGTAGATCCTGGAGAGGAACGGGAGTGGCCACAGCCCTCATAAACCCTCCGAGCCCCAGATCTCATGCCTGCTTGCGGAGCCTCTGCCTGGGCCTTTCTACCTTTCAAGAGGCCCAGACACTTCCCAGGACCAGGAAATCTGATCTTCGAAAAGCTCTGCCTGCGCTGCCTCCATTGCACTCCCTTCTGCCCACGTTCAGGCCTCAGCACTACCCATCTGGGTGATTTCAACAGTCTCCCAAGAGATCTCCCTGCGCCATCCATCCTTCCATCCCATCTCGTCCTTACTCCCAACCCCACGCCATCCTTCCGCCAGCTCATCTTCTAAAATGAGTGATCTTTTAGAGCGATCTCCTAAAAATGTAAATCTGGCCCTGACATTCCGTTGCTCAACATCCCTCCGGGAGCACTGAGTGCCTCCAGGACGAAGGCCCGACCTTCACCGTCCTCCACAGGCTCGGCTGTCTTCTTTCAGAATCTCATCCTTCACAGCCTTCTGCTCAGGTCAACCAGAATTATTCCTGTCGCATCAGCCCCGCCTATACTCATCTCACACTCCAGCCCGATCCACCTTGCCAGACCTAGCCGAAATGCTGCCTCCTCAAATGTGAGCCTGTATGAAGATCCTGGGCACAGTGGCCTGCACACGGTAGGTGCCTAATAAACACTGAACAAATGAATGCATGGAGGGAAGACAAGGGAAGCTTACCCTTTAGAGGACAGAGGAGGAGGGGCTGGCTCAGGGACAACTAGCCCCTCTTGATGTCTTCAGAGTAGGTAGGACCCAGGGGGCCAGCTTGTGGCCCCTCAGCATTTGGCTTCCTGAATTCCAGCTCTTGCTCAACCACATAGTTGCTGTGGGAGCTTGGGCAAGTCACTTAGCCTCTCTGAGCCTCTATTTCCTCATCTGTAGAATGCGATGGTGATAAAACCTGTCTGACCAGACTACTGTGAAAACGCTCTGTAAGTTCCCAAACCCTCCAAGCACCATCTGGATGGGAGGCATTCTTAGTCCCCCTGCACACCCCTCCCCCCTGTCATCCAGACAGCCCCTTCCATAGGTCTCACGAGAAGTTGGGGTTCACGTTGACGTGGTGGGTGCCCTCCACCTTCCGCAGGTCACTCCCATAGCCCACAGCCACCATGCAGTTGATGCAGAGGAGCTGCACCTCGTCCGCCAGGAACTGCCGCCGCTGGCTCTCCCGCTGGGCCGCCTGGGCTGCCCGCTTGACCAGGGCTGCCTGCTGCAGATCCTGGATCTGGGGTGGGAGGGGACACTAGGCGTGATTGGGGCCCAAGAGACCCAACTCCAGGAATGCTCCCAGGGGACACAGAGCTCCCAAAGACCTCAGATCATTAGGACCCAGAAGAGACTTTCCTCGACCCTCCCTGGAGCTTTTAGAAACAGCTCTGGGGCTGGCCAGGCACCCGACTCGGCAGCCTGGGTTCGCAGGTTCCATTCCCGGGTGCGGACCTACACCACTCGTCAGCCATGTTGTGGCTGCAACCCACGTATGAAATAGAGAAAGATTGGCACAGATGTTAGCTCAGGGCTAACCTTCCTCAAGCAAAAAAAGAGGAAGATTGGCAACAGATGTTAGCTCAGGGCAAATGTTCCTCAACAACAACAAAAAAGGAAGCAACTCTGTGGAGAAAAATAATACAGGGGTGGGGCAAAGGTGGGGGCGGGGCAAGCTTTCTCATTGAATCTTTGGCCCTGCTTTGGAGGATTTTGTGCAAAGCTGATTCTTTGAGGCTAACACAAGGCATCATTAATAATTATGCTGGGACAACAGGAGTAAACAGGGACCATCCTGGGCAAGGGGACAATGGTGACCCTGCCTCACGGGAACTGATTCAAGTCCTGGTTCTGGGCTTATTTGTACATGTGTCTTGGTTTGTTTGCCCCCCCCCCACCCCCCGCCCCCCACCACCTGGCTCCAGAAAGGCTGTAAGGCGGCTCTCACAGATACACCAAGTATTTAGTAACAAGGATAAATTAAAAGCCCTGGACAAGGCCTGTTCCCAAGGCATCTGGAGAACAGCCATTGCCTTCCCTGGCAGCCCCACCCCTGGCCTCTACCCATCCATCCATTCACACCCTCCCCAGGTGGGCCAAGAGGGCCCTCAGAGGAAGAGGGGTGCGCATGTGTGTGCAATCAGAGAGCTTCCAGGCAGAGCGTCCTAAGCCCCTCTCCCTGCAGGGCGCACAGGCTGCCCACAGACCTTGGCCTGGTACTCAGCCTCATCCATCTCCTGCACAGCAGCCACTGCCCGTTCCATCAGAGCCTCCAGCTCCTCATTGGTCAGCTCCCGCCGCAGCTCCCGACTGTCCTCAGTTGCCACAAACGAGTACACACTCTGACCAGCCCGGGCACGGCCCCTTGCCTGGAGAGAGAGAGAAGGGAGGGGCCTGAGTGGGGCTGGTGTCCCACCCAGGATCCTTTGAGGGCTGTTGAGAGCGGGGTGGTTGGGCACCTGGACCATGGAGATCTCGTTGGTCAGGAGCCCATAGCGCACCACCACATTGCACTGGGGGATGTCCAGGCCCTCTTCCGCCACACTCGTGGCCACCAGGAGGTTCAGGGTGCCGACCCGGAACTTACGGATCACTTCTTGCTGTTCCCTCTGGGGATGGGGGAGGAGAAAGAGGATGGTGCATGAGGTGGGGTCAGGCCCACCCTCCTGCCAGCCCAGCCTCTTCTGGTTCAGCCCTTTGACTCACAATCTTGGCCCTTTCCCTAAGGACCCTGTGTCTCCACCTCTATCTCCAAGTACACCCCATCCCCACCCCAAGATCTTGCCCATTTTCCCAGGTGACCATCTAACCCCTCTCTCCCCTAGGGACTCCCTATGGGTCCCTGCCTCTCTATCCAGGAGCTCTCAGGACCTAGCCTTCTCCTGCAAGGGACCCCAGGCCCCTGATTCCCTGTCCCAAGGACATCATTCACCTCTTTTCCTGCAGCTCCCCAAGCCTCTGCCTTTCTGCCCCCAGGGAACCCCAGACTAGGGGGACCTTCAAAACTGGGGATTTCAGTGTCCATCTCTCTCCCCCAGCTCTCTGCCCTCTGCCTGGGGATAATCAGCCTCCTGTCTCTCTGTGAAGACCACAATCCATCCCCTTTTCCCCTAGGGAGCCCCCCAGCCTCAGCTCCTTTCCCCAAAGCCCACACCTGGGTCATATGGGTGCTCTGGCTGCTGTTCCCAGCCCCAATCAGTGTCTGGGCCTGGATGTCCACTGTCTGCAGGCCAGGCTGGTGCTGCAGCCAGAGCAGGAGGGAGCGAGCGCTCTGGCGGGTTCGGGTGAAGATGATGCCCCGGGGGTTCTCGTTCCTGAACTGCTTCTTAAGGATCTGTTCCAGCTTCTCCAGTTTAGGGTTCTCTGGGCCACAAGTTGCCAGGCGGGCCAGCTCATTCTTGTGCTCTGCCAGAAAAGCCCAAAACAGGGACAGGACTCAGGCCTGGAGATGAGATGGGATGGGATGGGATGGGATGGGGTGGGGTGGGGTGGGGGTTGGATGGGATGGGGTGGGCAGGGCAGGGCAGGGCAGGGCAGGGTGTGTGCTCACAGGGATAGGATTGCAGGAGTACAGAGGGGGACCGAGGATAACTGCTCCTGCCTAATTCCCCTTGAGCAGCACCAAGAGCACATTGAAGGACACCCTATGCCTGCGCAGCCTCAAGGCCAGCCAGCCTTACACCAGGGGCCTACCGTAGAGGACTTTTTGCCCACATACCTCAGGCCAACACTCCTCTTCCACCTAAGTACCAGGATGACCCTTGACCTTTTCATGTTGACCTCAGCTACCCAAGACTGACTCCACCTCAGGTCTCTTCAGAAAGATCCTTGCCCCCCCCAAACCCCTTGTGCTAGGGCCTCTAGCCTTAAATTTCATCTCTGGCCACCTCATGTCCCAGTTCAAAGATATCACACACCCCAGACTTTCAGGGACAGTCCCAATTAAATGGTTTAAAAAAATCTTTGTCAATAACATGAATTAGTTTTTACATCTATGCAAACCTTCACAAATAAGGGCATACATCTTTTGTCATATCCACAGCTTTGACTTTAGGTTAGAAAAATAGGGCGCCTGTACCCTCACTGGTACCTTCCAAATCCGTGTTGGCGCCCGGTTCTCACCCCTCCCGCCTCCCCGAGAGCCTCACCATCGAACAGCGCCAGCAGCCAGCGCTCGGCATCCAGGACCTGCGTCTTAGTGGCACGCTCCCAGTCGTAGAAATCCTGCAGCGTGGCCAGGGCGTCCACGGCGCGCACCGTGTCGTGGATGAGCAGCGCGTCGTTGTAGCGCCGCAGGTGCAGCGCGTACACCCGCCGCTGCTGGAGCCCCGCCGCAGCCGCTGCGGGCGGCACGGGCGCAAGGGCTGAGTGGCCACGCCCCTCCAAGGTCCGCCCCCACCTAGGCTCCGCCCCCAGGCAGGCCCGGTCCACAGCGCCCCCACAGCCGCCTCGCCCTCCGCCCGGGCAGCCCCTCTCACCAGTCTGGCTCAGCTCCACCACCTGCTGCTCGTACATCTGCGTCCCGAAGTCCCGGCTCAACTCGGGCATCTCCAGATGGTCGTGGACTTGGTCCATGAGATTCTTCAGCTTGTCCCCAAATGGGTCCTGGAGAGAAGAGTGCAGGGATTCCCATACACCTCAGGGGAATGGGCACCCAGTGGGGGCGCTGATCTCCACGGGAAGCCGCGCCGCTACTGGCTACTGCCGTCACGTCGGTGTTGGAGAGCAGGGAGCTCCTGGCTGGAGGCAGGGGTCAGGTTCCTGTACCGCTCCTGCTCTGTCTGCACCTCCTATGTCCCCTTGACCTCTGGCCTGAGCACTGTGAGGTCTAGTCCTTGCCCAGCCCTGTCCTAGCAGACACCAGGCAGTGTTAGCATGGCAGGAGAGAGCTCCTAACAGCCTTGGCACAGAGAGCCCCAGCTTTATGGTTTGCAAAGCACTCTACAGTGTGCCCAGGGTTTTGACAGATGCTCACGGTGGCATGTGAGTCAAATCAAACAGAGGCTGTGGGCATGGGCTGCATGTGCCCCATTTCACAGAAAGGAGAAATGGAGGCTCAGATACATAAGCAAGTAACCTGAAGTCACAGAGCTCCTGAGGGTAGAGTCAGGGCTCAACCCTGGGGGCCCTAATTTCACACCAGACCCCACCTCCACCCTGTGCCCATCCCTTCACACACCTGGCTGCGCCTTTGGCAGACATCATACTGTTTGCAGGGCTGGGGGCTGTGTTCCTGCAGCTGGGGGCGGTGGTTCTGGGGTGACATGATGCGCCACGTGTCCAGATTGGCACAGAGCTGGGGCAACAGAGAGGGGCTCATTGGAATGGAGGGGGTCCCGTGGGGACAATGGGCAGAGCTCTGGGGCAGGATGGGTCCAGCTGAGGCAGGGCCATTGGGAGTGGGGATTCATATATTCAACAAATATTTATTGCCCGCCCTCTCTGTCCTGGTGCTGGTGTCTAGGTACTGGGGAGACAGAGCATCTTAGACTGGAGTTGAGGAGACAGAGGATAAACCATGAAGAGCAACAGAATGAGAGAATTTTAGTGTTAACGAGCTCTGAAAAGAATGAAATTGGATGGTACGATAGAGTGCAGGGGGGTGATCAGGGAAGATCAGGGAGAGGTGACATTTAAGCTGTTCCCTGAATAACAAGAAGGAGCCGGAAAGGTAAAGTGCAGGGGGAAGAGCATTCAGGGCAAAAGGAATGGCAAGTGGAAAGGGAGAACAGCCAGGCTGAGACGCTGGAGATACAGAGAGAAGGCCAGTGTCATGGGAGTGAGGGCAAAGGGGGAAGAAGTGAGGCTGGAGAGGCAGGCAGGGGCGAGGTCACAGGGAACTTTGTAAGGCAGAGTAGAGAGCTGGCAGTTTATCCTAAGTACAGTGAGAAGCTACTGGAGCCTGGAGCTTAGGTGAGGAAGGGGCCCGTCCCTGCCTGAGGGAGCCTGGTAGGGCTGGTGGGCATGGGGTAGGGCAGGCCAGGGAGGTCCTAGGGGGTCAGGTTGGGGGAGGGTCGCAGGGACCAAGCTGACCTGCAGGATGTGGTCAATGGCCCCCTCGAGCTTGGAGGCCCCGCCAGTGCCTGGGGAAGCTGTGAGACCCAGCACCTGGGGCAAGGGCAGTGTCCTCTGGAGTTTATGCTCTAGGTACCGGCTCAGGATGATGTTGTAGACAGTGTCTTTGTGCGTGTGGTGACACTCGTCCACCACAAGCAGGGAGAAGGCTGGGAGCACAAGGGGAGAAGACTGTGACCCACAGACCCTTCCCCCCCCCCCTGATAAGTTTTGTTTCATGTATTCCCCACAACTCATCTACGAACTCCCTCCTCCTTTCACAACTTGCAGCCAGTCCCCAGAGAATGGGCCAGGCAGGGATAATTTATCTCCATTTTAGAGATTAGTAAACTGAGGCTCAGCCGGGGGACGGGACTCACCCAAGATCCTGCACTGTAGCCAGGTCTGTTTCTACTAGGGTGTATGCTGGAGTTTGGTGAATGGGGAACCCCTCACATCTCTACTACAAGTGCCCTGGGGGTGGCAGGCAGGGGAGCCTCAGGTGCACACCCTTTCCCCCTGCCCACAGCCCTCACCATTGAGCTCCACGTGCTCCTCTTCCTCAGAGCTTGTCAGCGCCATCTGCAGCAGCTCAGCTGTGCAGATGAGCAGGTCATGGTGCCGGGCCAGGTGGCCAAAGCCAGCTCGTGGCCCCATGTCCCCACTCAGGGTTGTGATGGTCCAGCGTTTGTCCAGCATCCGGCTGAACTCCTCACAATGCTGGGTCACCAGGTGCACCTGGGGATGGAAAATGAGATGGGGAGAAGCAGCTGCATCACGGGCAAGTGGGGTTGGGGGAGGCAAGGACCGGAATGGGTGAAGATAGGTGAGCTTAGAGTTGGCCACAGCAGCTCTGGAGTTCTGTCTTGAGGCACCCGTGGAGCTAAGACCCCACTGAGGGGAGGGCAAACCACTCACCCTGTTGACCAATACAACCACCTTGGCTCCATCCACAGTCTCCAGATGCCTCTTGGCCACATAAGCAGCTGCCCGCGTCTTCCCAGTACCCGTGGGCAGCCATATGATGATATTCTTGCCCTCCAGGGCAGGCATAATCACCTCCCACTGGTAGGGTCGCAGCTCCATTCTGGGAATGGCAGGGGATTCAGACCGCCAGGCCCCACACCCCTCCCCACTCCCGGCCAGCCCAGTCCGGTACAGAGAGCTCTCTTTGCCCAGGACTCTATCCTGCCTGAGGGAGGTGGGGCAGGGCACCGCAGGGACCCACCAGGAGCCTGATCTGGCCAAGAGGGGAGACAGGAGTAACAGAGACTACACCGGCCCCCTGCCCAGCCAGGTCTCACCTGCACCACCTGCGGAGGGCAGCCCCCCTGGGTTTGCTTGGTTTATTTAGCCCAGCCCGGATGCCGCTGGGCTCTGCTGAGATCGAAAATGGAAAGCGAAACTTAGGGGAGGAGCCAGCCCAGCCGGAGCTTGGCTTCAGGAATCTCCCTTCCCTGCCCCGCAGAAAAAACTCCTTGTGCACACTTTGGCAAGGGGACAGAAACACTGACAGTAAAGTCGAGTCTCCACACCCCCACCCCTGCCCCTTCTGGAGTCAGCTGTAACCGTGTCCACCCAGGCAGAGGCAGCCAGGTAGAGATTCTGACCCCCGCCACCCTGGAACCTGGAGTAGGAGCAGGGACAAGCAGGGGGCTGCAGCCAGGCAGGTCCCATCACCCCAGGGGCCCGGGACTAGGCATGAGGCTTGCTGCACCAGGTTGAGGCGGGTGTCCCAGCACCACTGGGGGCTTTACAGGCTCCAGCCTGCAGGAGGTACTGGTCAGGGTCAGCCTGCTATGTCCGAGGACTCTACCCAAGGAACAACTACACAGAAGAAAAAAAGAGCTTTATTGTTCCCTCCAAAGGATTAATGCCAGGAAATGAATGGTCCCCACGGCCCCCACCCCTGGGGGACAGACAGAACAGTGCAGGGCAGGCAAGGCGTGGTCCCTCCAGTTCAGGTTGAACTTCCAATCTTGAAGCCCCCTCACTCAAACTAAAATTGGCAGTCCTGCCCCTGGGGAAACAGCGACCAGGGCCACGCCCTGGCCTCCCAGTCTCCACAGCTCCACAGGGACCAGGCCTGGGGACCACCAGCCACTCTAGCGGGGCTGGGTCTCAGACCCATAAGACCCCTCCCCAAGGTCAGACACAATGAAGGGTGGGACAGAGCTGCAGGCTTTGGGTGCCTGAGGGTCCCGAAAGGGCTGCAGGGCCCCTGGCTGGAACGTGTCAAGCTGAGAGGGCCCTGGGCGCCAGCTCAGAGCCCGAGGTGGAGATGTCCCAGTGAAGGTGGTCCAAAGTGGACTACTTGTCGATGAGCCCCCCCTCCTTGAGCTTGAAGTAGAAGAACTTCTCCAGGGCACTGGCGCAGCGGCAGTACTCGCTGTCCGGGGGGTTGTACTCGCGGCAGTTGGCGATGACCCGCTGCAGGTCAGCCACAAAGAGCTTCCGTGTCACATAGTAGCGGCTGCGCAGCCGCTCCGTCATGGTCTTCAGGTCTGGGCAGCAGGAGAGAACGGGCACGCCTTGAAGAGACTGAGGAGAGCGGGGCTGCCCGCCGGGGTGGGTCACCGGGGCCTGTGTGGCCCAGTGAAGGCAGGAGCAGGAGTCGATTTGGGGGCAGAAGTGGAAGGAGGGGATCAAATGGAGCGTCCTCACCGATGGGGAAGCGGATGACCTCGTAGTAGTCTGGGGCCTCCGACTTCTTCACGGGCTCCATGAAGGGCCAGGCACTGGGGTGTGACTGGAGAGGAGAGCCAAGCTGGGGCCAGGCCCACCCTGCCCCATGCCCAGCTCGTGACTGCCACCCACCCCACACTAGGCCATAAAGCCACAGCCACTGGCGCAGGGCCCCCCAGAAGGGAACCTGGTCTCCCCACCTTGATCTGGGCCAGCAGGTTTTTGAGGGTTGTATAGAGCTGGTCAGGGTCCTTCAGCTCCTTCCTGGGGTGAGAGATGCCAAGTCTGCGGCTCCTGATCCCTGTGCCTCCCCCAACACCCTCTCCCGCCACACAACACTCACCCCTTCTCCTTCCCAAGCGGCTTCCAGCCCGTCTCTCCTGCAAAGCGGGCAGTGGGGAGAACATCCCTAAGAAAGCCTGATACACCCCAAGCAGCGCACCCTGCTCCCCCCACCAAAACCCCTGCTCACGGATGCCAGGGACGCTCTCCACAGGGATCTGCCTCACGCCTTCCTTGAAGCAGCTGAGCCCGGGATAGACCTTTCGGATCTGGGCCTGTTTGCGCTCAATCAGCTTCTTGATGATCTGAGGAAAGGAAGGGTCTGAGGGGGAACCCGGCCCCAGCCACAACCCTCCCAGGGCCACTGCCAGGTCCTGCCCCTCCCCTCCTAACTTCTCCAAGAGGCAGAGCAAGAAGCAAGATCTTGGCCCGTCCCCACCTCACACACGCACATGTGGCACCCATCCACATGTGTGTTCACCCCGACTTGTACATTCACGAAAAGCCCCATGGACAAGTCCAAGAGTGTGCGCACGCCCACACACACTCACACACACACACACACACACACACAACCTCCTTCTGCTTCTTGATGATGTGGGACAGCTCCGTGTAGGGGATCCGAGGATTGAGCTCACACTCCATCAGTGTTGCACCCTCGTAGTCCTTGATATAACCCAGGTAGCGGCTCTTGGGCACCTTGATGTCCTTGGAGAAGCCCTAGGGAGGGGACAGTTATGGCCCAATCCATCAGCAAGGCTTTTCCAGCTTCAACGGGCCCCCCCGCAGAAGCACCTGAGGGGCAGGGCATGCCATGTCCCCTCTTCCCAATTCCTGGACCCCCTATGGTACCCAGCACAGAGCTCTGCACTGTGCAGCCTCGATTACTCTGTCCCTGGAAAGGTTCCAGGTCAGCTGCCCCTCCCGACTCACCCCTGGGAGTCTCCGGATTCTTCCCGCCTGCCCTACTGCCCGACAGGACCCTGTGCTTCACTGGGGCAGCAGCAGTGGGAGGGAGACGGGCATGAAGGACTTCCCCACAGGTGCTGAATGGAACAGGGGACACGAAGGGACTCCCACTGCATCCACACCAGGGGGCTGGACAGAATGACCCACAGACCCTGGCAGAGGGCGGGGGCGGGGTGAGGGTCACCTGCTTTTTAAAGTAGCCGATGGCGTACTCGTCGGCGTAGGTGAGGAAGTAGAGAATGTTGTGTTTGATGTGATACTCCTTCAGGTGGTTCATGAGGTGAGTCCCATAGCCCTGGGGGGAGGGCAGCAGGGCTCAGCAGGGGGCGCGGGCCCAGCACTGGAGGGGTCTCAGGAGGGCCCAGAGCAGAGGGGGCGGACTGGACGGGAGGTGGGGGGGGCAGCGGGTCCAGGGCAGCTAGGAGGAAAGGCGGCCAGCGGAGGAAGAGGAGCTTATGCGGAGAAGAGTGGAGGACCCCGGATTTCTAAGCACCTCTTCTGGGCCAGGTGTGGTGCTTCACAGACCACTTCTCACATTACCCCAAGAGGCAGGTATCACTACCCCCACGCGACAGTAAAACCCAAAACTCAGCAACGTAGGAAATGGTCAGACGGCCAGCCACGGCAGGGCCAGGATCCAAACCCAACCAGGAAGCTCTTGTCCCCAGGCCACTGATTCCCAGTCCCTGAGCCTCAGAACTGGGGGAAAGGCCAAGGGGAACGACAAGGCCCTGCTCATCGCAGCGTCTGAACCCTGCAGAGACACTGTCTCCCACACACGCCAGGACCAGTGAGGCAGCAGCAGACCTGGGTTAGGTTCAAAAGAGAACAAGGGACCCGACTAGTGAGTCCGTTGTGATGATTAAAGGGCAGAAACCAGGACTAGCACCCAGCGCAGGGCTACTATAAAAAGGACTAACTCCCCAACGTACGCGAAGGTTCTGGTGATGAAAGAAATGTGGGACCATTTGAGCGTGGCTGCTTCTTGGGATCCATTCGCCAACAGGTGTTGCCTTAATCCAGTTACCAAACTACAACTGCCACCTGGTGGGGGTGTGAGGAACTGTCTGGCCATTAACAGGAGGTTTGAGAGCCTGCTGTTCTGACCTGATCCAAACTCAGAAGCAGGTGGTGGGATGGGGCTAGGGCCACAGGCATGCGCTCACCTTGACCTGCTCATTGGAGGTGACAGCACAGAAGACAATCTCCGTGAAGCCCTGGGTGGGAAACATGCGGAAGCAGATCCCACCAATGACCCGCCCGTCCTTGATCAAGGCCAGAGTCTTATGCTTCCTGAGGGGAGAGGGGACAGGTCAGGGCTGTGACCTGTCCCCTAAATGCTCCCCAGTCCCCACGGCCCTGGGGGCCTGAGCTGTACGCAGTGCTGGGAACTGAGGAGCAAGAATTCCCAAAGGTTGGAGGAAGAGGCCAGGGAGAAATGGGGAGGCCAAGGAGGAGAGGCGCCTGGGTGTGGTGCCCTGGGGTTTGGGCTCTGCCAGGGACGCACGGGTCAAAGACGAGGCGGGCGATATACTCCTTGGGCATGCGCGGCAGCTGGTGGGAGAAGACATTCTGCAGCCCCACAAGCCAGAGCAACACCCGCCGGTTGGCCTTGGGCGTCAGCGAGTTGCCGATGACATGGAACTCGATGATGCCGCGGCGCTCCTCCAGGCGGGCTGTCTCGTCCCGGGCTGCGTTGGCTGACAGCAGGCTCGTCTGGATACCAGAGGAGGGGTGGTGAGCTAGGGTCTTGGTGGGTGAGGCCCCCTTCCCCGCATCAGTTAGCAAGCCAGGCTGCCCACCTCGGGCCCCAGCATGGCGGCAGGGTCAGTGATGGTGAGCATGACCTCGTTGACCAGCTCCATGGGAATGTCGCCCATCACACGGAGCCGCTTGGCATCCTCCAGGGTCAGGTTCTCTGGGAGCTTCCTCTTCTCGCCTGCTGGGGAGGTTGGCAAGGTCTCCCAAGGATGGGGAGAGAGGTCGGGGGAGGGGTGAATGAGGAGCAGATGTCAGGGGTCAAGTACCCACCTGGCATGGGCTCAGCCCCTCCAGAATCCAGACTCAAGGAGCTGTTGCTGCTCCCACCCATGGTGGGGCTGAAGATGGGGGCACTGGGAACAACAGCTGCGCTGACTGTAGCTGAGAGACAGAGAGAAAAATCAGCAGACGGGGTCAAAGGTGTTGGTGGGTCCTGAAAGGGATCCGGGCCCTCCAACCCCTGGGTGAGCCGTCCTGCACTTCCTCACTGCTACCACTCACAACCCGTCTTCCACAGCGGGGGCTGAGCTCAGTCAGGAAGGCCAAGCAGAGATCCTGCAGGGCCTGCTGTGGTACATACCTGGCCGGGGCACCAGCTGGGTCCCCTCTGAGGGCGGCATGGTGAAGCCCGATTCCCAGATCGGAGAGTTTGCCCCATAGATCTCCTCCTCCAGCATGGACAGGAATCTGTGGGGAGGGTAGGTCTGTCTCACAACTCTGTTCTCCAACCAAGGGAGCAGCCTGGGCCAGACACCAGAGGGACTGGAGGCGGGTCAAAGAGACAGACCCCGCTCTCAGGGAACTGGGAAGCTAAAAATGTAGACAGCCTCTGCCTTGAGACTAGGGGCAGGCACAGCCCCCTGCCTTCTAGGAGTCTGTAGTCACAGGTAGGACAGGACAATCCAGGACAGAAATCAGAGGACCAGTTTCCCACGGTGGACGGCACAGGGAGACAGGGTCTGAACTGACGCTGTCCTGTGCTGTGTGGTCAGGCAGGGCACCACGTCACCCTGGGTCTCAGGATCAAAATGGGGCTCAGAATCCACCCCTCCTGCCACCTCTTGTTCCCACCTGGTGGCAGAAGAGGAGCGCCAGAGGGCCAGGATTAGTCAGCACAGGCTTCTTGAACTGGGTAGCTACAAGCCAGGCTTAAAACGAAAGGAAGGTGTGGCAAAACAGAGGAAAACCTTACAGAAAGGACTAGAACAGGGATGGAAATAGGTTCCACCTCAAGTGGTAAGCTCTGGTTTCTTGGAGTACTGTGGTGGGAAGGATTCTGAGGCTGTGTCCAGGCCCCGTGGGAAATAATTAGTAACATCTACCAGGGTGTGGGCAGGGGTAGTGTTAGCACTCGGGCCATGTACCTGCCATCCCCAGACTAGTACACGCAAAGGCAAATGCTAGCAAGGTGCGTCTGGGCCATGGGCAAGTCTGCCAGGTAGACGCCCAGATCCCAGAAGGCTCATGGAGGGAGAGGAGGGACCAATCCAGGAAGCCTTCCTGGAAAAAAGGGGACAACAGGGAGGATGTGAAGTTGGGGCAAAACCCTGATAGGCCAGAACGAGCCTTACTTGGGGAAGTGGGTGAGGATGAGGGTCCTCTTCTCGGGCACCAGCTTGTCTTTCTCCACCCGGAACTTCTCCAGCAGCTGCCGCCGGGTCACAGTGAAGATGGAGCGGAGAAGGCTTCGCCCAAAGACGTGAGTGGTCTCGTAGCGGGGGAGGCTATCGCAGCTCTGGGGCACATGGCAGTAACAGAGCCATCTGTGGGGAGTGGGGAGGTGGTGAGAGTGGAAACCACTGAACCCAGGTTATGCCTATGAGCCTCCCCCGCTGCTATCCCTGGCTGGGCCTACCTGGTATAGTTGACCTTGTAGGTAGCCACGTCCTCGGCCTGAGACCTCTGCCGAAACTGGGCAGGCGTCTCAAGCTTCCAGTAGTTAAGGCAGAGCAGGAACATCTTTGAGAGCTCGAACATCGTCTGCCGCTCCCGCGGAGCCAGGTGACTAAACTTGTACTGCACAAAGTTCAGCACACCCTGAGAAGGGGCAGGCAGAGACAAAACCAGGAAGGAGGGGTGAGCAGCCAGCTGGGTTCTTATCCAAAAACAGGTGTTTCCCAAGGGCAAGGGCCAGGCTCTCCACTCACTCTGGGGCTCTCTGTGAAGAGAAACTGTGCCCTCTCCCCACTCCCATGCCCACCCTGAGGTTAGTGCAAAATGTCCTCTCTTCCTGAACCTCTCCCCTGTTCTCAGCTTGAGGATGGAGAACACAGCCTCCCCACTCTTCCAAGATGCCCCCAGTTCTCTTACCACCTTCCTCATCCCACCTGCTCAATATTAGGCTTCTCAAATGGGGGGCTGCCCAGGGAGCCCTCCACCACAGGCCGGGTCATCTGCAGGATGCATTTCCGCAGGAGCTGGAGGAAGAGGAACAGGGAGGAGCGGAGGTCAGCAGAGCTCAGAGCTGCAGATGCCCCCAGCCTCGCCTCCTTCGCTCACTCACACTCCCGGAGGAAGCTCACCTTGAAGAGGTAGAAATAGACCTGTTTAGTGTCTGTGTCCTCCTCCTTGTGAACAGACATGAACAGATTCTCCACGTCCACCACCATCCCCAGAAGCCGGTTAATCTCATCCTCTGACACATTCTCCAGGTGGGACACATGGTCAGCTACAAGGACAGATGGCAGCAGAGGGAAGAAGGAACAGAAGAGATCAACAGGGCTTCCTGCCTCCCTACATTGCCAGCCAAGATTCACCTTCAGTCCCTCCAACCAGGGTGACCAGCAACGAGACTGACTGCTCCTGCGTCAGCCCTTGGGTGGCCTCTTGTCTCTTCTGGGCTGGCAAATTTCCTTTCTCCTCCCTGGGGGATACACGCTCCCAACCCAATCCCTCCTTAGGAGGAATCTTTGGTTTTTCAGAGGTGAAGCTCTGTGACACTTAAGTCATCCTGTCCAAGCAGGACCCAGCACCTGCCCACCCTCCCCAGCTCCAAGGGCACTACCTGCCTTACCCAAGGGGTGTTCACAGCTGCGGCACAGCTCGCTGAGGTTGGCAGCTGGCTGCTGCAGGTCCATGCGAGGAGCAGTCGGGGGCTTGGGGTTTTTCCAGCCATTACACTTGCAGGTTTCATTGGCCTGGAGGCAGAAGGATCAGTCAATAACCCTGTATCCCGGGACGAGGAGCCGCTCCCCAGCCAGAGCTTTGCCACCCTTCCCACCCGAGCCCTAGGATGCCCCAAGCCCCGCCCCTTCTCACCCCAGGCCCCGCCCCCACCTTGCAAGCCGAGAAGACCCCTAGCTTCTCAAGCTTCTTGGCGCGCGGCAGTCCCCGGACTTGCGCCTTCCTCTGGCTGGCGCGCTGCTGCTGGCTCAGGCCAGGTCGAGCCGGATCCCCCCCGCTCCCGGTCCCCCCACTTCCTACCCCGGGCCCCCCCGTCCCTGTGCTCCCGGCTGGGGCTGCAGCTGGGGCGGGGGCTGGTGCCGGAGTGGGAGCCGGAGTCGGGGCCGAAGCCGGGCTAGGGGCAGGAGTCGGAGTTGGGGCCGGGGCTGGAGACTGAAGGGTACGGGGCTGTACGGCCGGAGCCGGGGCCGACGCCTGGGAAGGTTCCGCCATGGCCTCCCCCGCAGCGGAGCGCAGCGCGGCGCGGCGCTCCCAGCCCTAGGGCCGCATGGGCAACGGGCGCACAGTGCGCAGGCGTCGCTGTCCCGGAGTATGATGGGAGTTGTAGTCTTCCACCGCCGGTCTCTTCGCCTCCAGCTTCCAGACTTTTCTGCCCTTTTGGTCCCAGACAACCAAGCAAGGCCCGAGTTAACACTCCAGATTGACCCCTCCTCACTTCTAGTCCCTCTTGAAGGCTTCCGACAGAGTCCAGATCGCTGTCTCCCTGGGGACAAGGAGAAGCGTCCCAGAAAACGGGCTTCTTTTTGGGGGAATCTTGGGTTCTGCCCACCTCCCGAGCCCGAGGGTGGAAGTGCAGGCCTGGGGCCTGAGGTGGCGTTAGCTCCTGTCACATCTCCCTCCCACTCCTACCCGACCCTGTCCCACATGTCCCCGGACACAGAATTGCAGCTACAGTGGAGATTAAGTAGCAACAGTTCTATTTCTTGACCTGTGTGCTCTTTTCGCGATAATTCAGCTGTACCCTTCTGTGCACTTTTCTGTATGTACATTGCATTTCAACAAAAAGGGTTTATTATAAAAGCCCTGAAAGCCAAAGGCTACCGAGGTGGGGTTGAGGTAGAGGCAGAGGAGGGCAGAAGCTTTCCTGCGTCTGGGAAGGCTCTCCTCCCACAGTGTGGGCACCGCGAGGGCAGGGCCCGTCTTCATCTCTGTGGTCCCAGAACCCAGTCCTGAGCCTGGCACAGAAGGCCCAGGGTGGATGAATGAAGGAAACCGAGGAAGACGCATTCACTTCCCCATCCCCGTGTGTCACAGGATTGTGCATGGTCAGAGAACGGCATCACACTCGGATGGCTCTGTTCAGGGGACAATCCTTGCCCCCAGGCCTGATTCCTGGAAGAGCAAGAACAGGGAGACTCAATCTCATATCCGCTCTGTGCTGGTGACCACTCCAGGGTCGCGCTCACACACGTCCAGTCTCGTTTAGTCGGTCCAGTTGGGTCACGGCCCAGGGCCGCCTGGGCCCTCTGATGGAGAAGGGGGAGGGCCCGAGAAAGGGGCAGGATCCAGGATAAAAGCAGCAGCGGGCGCTCCAGGGCGGCTGACAACCTGACCCGTGCATAGCTGACGCCAAACTCTAACAAAGCGAACCCTTATGGAAGCGAAGGAAGCCCGGCTGAACAAAGCCGAGCGGCGCAGGGGTCGCGCAGAGCCGAAGGGGAGCCGCGCGGGGCCGCGTGAGGCCCCTCCTCTCCCGGTGTCCACGCCCCTGCCCGAGCGCACGCTCCGAGCCTCGCGCCTTTGAACAGCAGTTGCTCACTCGGATGCAACGGGTCGGTAGCGGTCTCCCCAACGGGAGCCAGGTGGCGTCCCGGCGTCCCAGCGTGGCCCTTGCCGAACAGAACCAGGTGGCCACACTGCCGGTGCGGCTGCTCCGGGACGATGTGGCAGCTGTGCCGGACGATGTCCATGCGAAGGATGGCTTCCAGATGAAGGTGAATGCCCGCGGCTTCACCCCCGAGGAGCTGATGGTGCAAGTGGACGGCAGATTCTTGATGGTGACGGGCCAGCGGCAACTGGAGGGCTGCAGCTCAAATGGCTACAGCTACCGCATGGCGCAGCAGGTGCACCAGCAAGTGCAACTACCGCCAGACCTGGATCCCACTGCCATGACCTGCTGCCTGACCCCCTCTGGCCAGCTGTGCTTCCGAAGCCAGTCCCCAGCGCTGCCTTCCCCTGAAGCCCAAACAGGACCGTCCCCAAAACTCAGGAGCCGCGGCTCTAAGAAGGGTTCCAACCTAGCCTGAGCCAGTAAACCACCACCGTAGTGTGCAGCAGCAACCTAGTGTCCGTGGTCTTTTCTCTGTGATGCGGTCAGAGGTAGAGATAGAACAAAGGTAGAGGGAGGCCAAGTGGTGGGCCCAGGGAGGCAGGAAAGGCACCTCAAGGTGGTGGTCCACCAAGAATCAGGCCTCTGTGGCCCTTGGAGGAAGCTGGGAGGGACAGTGTTGCCCTACTCAGCTCAGCTCACTGCCTGGACCAAGAGCCCCAGCCCTTGGCAGCTGAGAGCAGCAGCTCCAGCAGGGAGCAGCAGAGGGCCAGGAGGGCCCAAGCATCACCTGGCTCCAGAACCAGCAGAGGGCCGAGAGGCCAGGGACCAGATGACTGGACCTGGTATGGGGCTGCTGTCTTGGGCTTCTGACCAGTCCAAGGTTCTAGAGGTCATCGGTGTTCCTTCCTCTTCAGAGAAGAGGTTGAGAGGACTCAATGCCTCATGGGCATGGTATAGACTAACCAAAAAAGCCCAAAGATGTTGTTTTTGGTCTTTCAGAGACCAGCAATTTTCAAATGTAAACTGCACATCACCCCAATATAATCTGGAGGGGGTGGGGGAGAGGCAAATGCAGGACCCTCAACTGCAAACTTGGTGAGATTCAGGTCACTCTTACCTCCACCCCCACCCCATCAGAGCTGATAACAGTAAGGGCCTCTTTCTCTTGGTTACCATAACCACGAGCATCCCCTCATGGTGTGTGTGTGTGTGGGGGGGGGCGGCTTTTGTTTAATAGGATTCAGTGGTTCATTTGAATTAACTTCAAGTAAGCCAGAGAGGATATGGTCTGATAAACTCTGCCAGAGAAAGACAAGGAAGACAAGCGGAAGGTCGATCGATCGGCTGACTATATTGACAAGATACTGATTGGTTACATGTTGAAGAAAACATACAATACAAAATACAGAAAAAGTTGGTTCCATCCCCTCCCACTCCCCCCTTACCCACCCACCCCCAAATACTCATCATCGTGATTTGGTCAGAACAGGGCTCAGAGCCAGAGGTCGGGGGCGAGGGGGTTGTGGGCAGTGGGTTCATGGCTGTCACAATAACGCTGTGGTAATGCTGTGGTTTCTCCCCCGGCTGAGTCAGGGGGTGGGGGGGGGCTACAGCCTGATGACAGCCAGCTGAGGGAAGAGCTGCCTCTCCCTTCTCTAGCCCCGGCACCTGCCCCACCACCCAGAACCAGCCCGCTCCAAACACAGTAAGGATATGGATGCTCTTGCTGAGTCTGCTGATCAGCAAGAGGGAAAGAAGGGCAACTGCTCCAGCCCCTGCCTCCCCATATATAAGGGTAGGGGACGGGCACGTGGCTACTACCAGCAAAAGAAGAGTGGGAGAGCAGTAGACAGGGCAGGAAGTGGGAAGAGCAGAAGATCATATATATTAAAAAAGTGACTTAAGACTTAAAATTGAATTAGTATTTGTACAGAAAGGTGCAGGTGGAATAACTCACTCCAGCCTATGATCAAAATTATACGGAGAAATCATGGTGGACCCCTCCCCCTGCCCCCCCAGCGGTGGCCCGAGTTGTTAAGTGCGATTGGTTAGAGTGGATTCCAGTCGGGTCGTTCAGGCGGAGGAGGCGGGGGCAGCGGGCAGGCAAGGGGGGCTCAGTTGCTGCAGCACTGGCTCCGGCTGGCTGGGTTGTTCTCCTGGAGGTCCACTCCTCGGTTCCGGCCTGGAGCACCAGCTGCATTCTGGGGCTCATTCTTGGGAAGCTTCTTAGCTGTTTGGGAGAGGAGGAAAAAATGCATTTGTGGGGGTACCCAGATACTCTCTCTCAAGTCCACTTGAGTAGACTCTGGCCTTTACCACCCAGTCAGTGACGACTAACATCCTGAGGGCTTCACTTCCAGGTACCAGGTGTGCTCTGAGTGTTTCAGGAAACTGAGGCAAAGAGAGGTTAAATAACTGGCCCAGCACCACAGAGTTACTAAGTGGTATAGTAAGGATTTGAACCTAGGCAGGATGACTCCAGAGCCAAATGAGCTAAAAGAATCCTAAGAAGTGGGCAAGGGGAGGGTGATGTGGGGTTTTCGGTGGGTGGTAAGCTAAAGGGTCAGGAAGTGAAATGCTGAGACTTTGGCCCAGGCTTTAGAAACATCCGGGGGAACCATCTACATCTGAGAGTCAGATGAAGACAAAATAATTTTATCAGAATATTAAAACTGGTGAAAGATCTGTCGGTGAAGGGACCCTACAGACCTCCTATGGAACAGCAGGCAGGCAGTGTACCCCTGGTGGGGGGAGGGGAGGAGAGGCATCTTACCTATTGCCATGAAAATTTCATTCACGTTCATTGCAGTCTTTGCCGATGTCTCCATGAACAGCAAACTGTTGTCGTCTGCATAGGCTTGTGCTTCCTGATTTGATGGAAGTGAGAAAGCAGAGGGGAGAGAAATGGTGACAGTTGGCAGGGGCCAGGGCCCAGCATAAACACCTTCCCTGATCCCGGTGCCTTATACACCAGAGAGACAACACGGGGGTTTTCCGGCCACAGGCTCTCCTGCTCTGAGTCCCCCTGAGACATCAGCACCATCCCCCCCAGCTCCCCACCTCATGCACAGCACCTCTCAGCTCACAAACATCGGTGCATGTCTTCCTCAGGTTTCCCTAAGAAGTTTTCCCTGCCTTCTTGCTCTTCAAGATCACTAGGCTAGAAAATACTTCTAGAAAGTTATCTTACAAATACACCCACACATTTGGACAAAAGCACAAAGAACGTGGTTGTTGACTTCGGCATTGTTTCAGGCCTTTTGCTGTTACAAACCCCCTAAAGTCCGTCAGTTAGGGACTGGTAAAAACGAAACGAAATACACAGTATGTGGAGCATGCTCCCATCTGGGTGAAGAAAGGGAGTCACACACATGTGCAGGTTTCTGGAAAGACCAGAAACTGTGAGGAACTTGGGGGGAGATTGCGTTTCTAGAGTTAGAGACTTAAATTTCATTCTATATACCTTCTCTTATACTGTTTAAATTTTACTATGTGCATGTATTACGTGAAAAAAAGTATTTCTTTTTCAATGAGTTTCATTAAGCAGTTTACAGAAAAAACAGGCAGAAGCTTCAGCTATCCACATGCACACATACCCTACTGCCAGCGACAGCAGGTAAAAGCTCCCCGGCTGCCTGCTATCGTGGGCCTTCCCAAGGCCCCGAGCAGCCTGGGGGAAGCCCAGGGGAGCTGGCTTGCTCGTTCCCGCAAGTCCTCTCCATGCCCCCACCTGGAATTCCACGGCTCTCTTGCTGGCCAGGTCCGCCTTGTTACCCGCGAGCGCAATGACGATGTTGGGGCTGGCCTGCCTCTGTAACTCTTTCACCCAGTTCTTGGCGCGTGCAAACGTATCCTGCGGAGACATGGCCAGAATGTCAAAGGGACAGAGGAGGCTTTCTGCCCAGGCCGCTCACTAGAAAAGCTTGAGCTGGCAGAGCCAAGCTGTCCAAGATGTCACCACCCTGGAGATTCTGGTGAGACACCCCCAAACAACAGAGGAAATCTGCCCCACGCCCACACCCCATCCAGCAACAGAGAGCCAAGAAGCAAGAAAAAATCTTTACTGTGTTGGTGATGTCATAGACCACGATGGCAGCCTGGGCCCCCCGATAGTACATGGGGGCCAGGCTGTGATACCGCTCCTGTCCGGCTGTGTCCCAGATCTCAAACTTGACTGTTGTGTCGTCCAAGCAGACAGTCTGTGTGAGGAAGGCCGCTGTAAGAGGGAAGGTGGTGTTACCAGGCAGGAAGGGGCTGGAGAAGCCACCCCGCGTGTCTCCACTGCGGCATCCGAGCTCTGGCATTTACAAGCCTTTGGCTGAGATGGGCACAGAAAAGCCCCCAATCCAGGGGCCACAGCAGGTCCAGGCAGGGCAGGCAGAGTTTGTATTTTGCCTATGTGTCGAGCGGGCTGCGGACTGCACGGACTTTACGGCCCGACACTAGGCAAGGGCAGGAAGACAGGGAAGCCTGCGTGCGCTTGAGCCATTTCGGGAGCATTCTCTGAAGAGGAATGTGGCAAGGGGCAGGAGAGGGAAAGCCCAGGGGAACCCTGACTCCATGCTCAGAAGGGTGGGCCTGCCCACTCCTCCGCCTCCCTCCCCTCAGAACAGTCCCACTGGAAACCACTAGTTCCTCAGTTTGTTCCAGCCCGGGGTGTCGCTGGCGTTGGGTTTCCTGAGGACACTCACACACTTAGCTACGCTGGGGACGCCCGTAAGTACATGCTGTTCCAACTGCCAGGCGGAGACTGGGTGGCTGGCTTCCCAAACACCCCTGCCACCTCCAGGCACACTGGCTAGCCACCACCCTCAGCTTTGACCTTGCGACACACTCCTGATTGGCCACCCTGTGGCTTGACCTTCAGGGAACACAGTGACCCTATCTTTGGCCTGAGGGGGCAGGGGAACCCAGAGCGCTTGTGCACATGCTTCCAGGAGGAGTCCCAGAACTGGGAGAGCAGGTGGGGACCCCTCTGCCCCAGGACCCAGCAGAGGATCCCCGAGGGCCCTGCGTAGACAGCTCGCTCTCCTTGTCTGCCCTCCCCCACGCCGAGGGGCCTAGGGTGCCGGCTCACTTCCCCCTCTGCAGCTCAGCAGCTGAGGAGGCAGCAGCAGACTGCTGACACGACCTGTTTTGTGTCCAGCTGCCTGGAAATCTCCTATCACCCAAGAGGGTAGAGAAAGGCTGACTCAAGCCCAAGGTCGGCCCCAGCCCCTTAATGTTTACTGGCCACTGAGGCAGGAGGCTGAGTCCAGACCCTTATATCCCAAATGCTGACCACTGGGAAATCAATGACAGGCTCTGAGCTCAAGAAAGGATGACGGTCAGCTTCAGAAACGCCAGCCCACTCACAAGGCCATTTCCCCATTCTGGAAAGAGGGAGAGGCCAGGGCACACGCACTGCCTGGCACAGTAGGGAGGACCCTAGAGATTCAGACCCAGCATCTCCGTTCCCAGAGGCTGGGTGAGTGGAAGGGTCTTAGCCAAGGCCACACAAATAAT